AAAAGAATGTTTTAAAGAAAACTGATTGGATGGACAAAAAATATAGTATAAAAAGTTGTCAAGGTCAATTAGTAAAWAGCAAAAATCAAGTAGAATAGAATAAAATAACTAGTTCCTTTTTAGGGTAAAAATAATACTTGATRGCTTTGACTGAGAAGAAATTAGTTGATTTGGGTTATATGAAATTGTCTCTATCGCTGTCCTTTCCATTTTCAAACTAGACACTCTGAGAGCGTTGGACAAATCTTACGACTCCGAATAGAATCTTTGCTGAGTCTAGCGCAAGTGAATGCGATGCAGGGACCCTACGAGAAGATGGTTTGCTAATTAGAATTTGTTAATGTGCAAGTTTATTTGTAAAACGTATGCACTGAAAAGACATTCACAGACAAATTGCACATATAGACCAATATTTACACCGGTTTTTGTTCTTTTTGATGCTTTTACATTTACATCTTTCTAATTAATAAAATAATAAAAACAATGTAAAGACTATAAATGAATTGAAATCCGTGATATTTCCGTTTCGCGAACCGCGAACATTTAAACTGTCCTGTATTTTCTTCGTAAGTAAAAATAATAAAACAGAACATTACTTGCTTACTACCAAAAACGGTCGATGATACTATATAAGTACAAAAATGATATGTATTTTTTTCCTGTTTTTATCATCTATTTTGGTTTTTATTAGGCTCTATTTTGACATTACAGTATTATAAAGGTTGACCTGGTAATTTTTGTGAGACCAAAAGTGAGACAATGTTTTTTGACTTTGTAGAGAGTGTTTTCTTTGGTGTCTTTCAGCGTCTCACGAATATTCATATCTACACGGTGTTTACAGTATTTACTGCTACAGGTTGACAGGCTACTTCATGATTTCTTTTACATTTTCAGAGCTTTTCGGCCGCTGAATTCTTGTATTATTTCCAGCAACTTCACATTGAAAAAAAAAAACGCGACATAATATGAATTCACAGTTTTGTGAATTCAAGTAAAGGTCGATATCGTCAAAATATCTGAATACAACAAGAACACTGGTCGACGGAATTCATAGAAGATAAGAATACGCTGCAGATTTATTCATTTGCTCAGTCATGTGACCTTGTGCCGTCAACCGTGTAATAAGAAATAATGGTGAAATGAAATGAAATAATAATAACAAATGAATACAATAATATATAGAATCCATTTTGAAATGAGAGCCAGAGCCATCGACAGTTTTGAGTAAAAARGATTGAGTCGCTGTGTCGAAGGAGTGAAACATTCGGACAGATTATGAGTCGAAATAGCTTGACAGGTCAGTGATTTAATTTGAAATATAAACGAAAGCACTCATGATTTGATGATTCGAAGAATTACACGAAAAGTTCTATACATCCCTATAGCATCATTTTATATATATTTTTTATTTTTTTATATTTTTGTCTATAGTGAGTGCTTTTTACAAGCTAAATTATGTTATTCTTTSGTACAGACCTCCCCTAAATATATACAGATTCTTGTGAGCTTGTGACGGCTCACGATTTTTCCAATGATGTGACGCAATGGTAGTATTTATTTCCTGTCGCTGTTACTTGATCACAAACCAAGACGATTAGTTATGACTGAATATTAGAGAAGTCCTATTCTCTGACAAGATCGTGCACATGTCAATCTAGAAATCTGCATGTAGCTCAAGAAAACCCGTCACGGAAAAAACTGTAATGGCACAACGAAAAAGTTCATATGGCACAAGAAAACCCGTGTTTTTATAAACCGCATAGGACACTAGAGATCCTACGTCGTAGCTAGTCTGTATGTAGGAATTACAGTTGCGATGGTCTGTCTGATTTCGTTAAATCCTTAATTTTAATCTCACTTCAACTTGAACTGTCGAATTATCGAAAAGGATTATGGGATTATGGCAAAATTTATGTTTGCAACACATCGTGTGATAAAGCAGGGAGCCCAATTCTTGCAATGTGTGGAATCATGTGAATAGGTTTAGAGTAAATGATTTGACAGTCAAAACATCTTATTTGGTGAATGCAACGCAAAACAGATTGAATTTACGGACGATAAGAATACACTGCAAATTTATTTGATTGCTCAATCACGTGATCTTGTGCTGTCAATCATTCACCGTTATACCCCCCAAAAGAAATAGTGGTGAAGTGAAACAATAAAAAGCAGAATCCATGACATTCTGTCATGACATTTTGAAATGAAAGTAAGAGACATTGACAGCTTTGTGAATACAATGATTGGGTACTGATTCCGTGGAGTGAAAGTGTCGGACAACTTATGATTTCAGTGAATAAAGTCGAAATAGATTGACAGCTCATTATCATCGTCTTCCAGGGGTCTTCTAATTACAAAGTGGACGTGTTACCATAGTGATATCATTGAAATAAAATCATTTGAGGATTTGAAGATTTGAAGATTTACGCGAAAAGTTCAGTTCATACTAATATCATTCATTTTTCGCGTCGATTTTCTTATAGTGAGTCAAGGTGAGTGCTTTTTACAAGCTAAATATTGACAGATAATTGTAAACTTGTGACGACCCACGAATTTTTCAATCAGGATGTAACGAAGTGTATATTTAATGTCACCTACTGAATACTCTAATAATATAGTGGCCTTCGTATTAGAAACGAAATAGCGCGACTTAAAGCGTCTGAGAGCCGGGAAACTAATATGTCGATCACGTGATCGTATCGCTACCAATGAAAACAGAAAAACTGATTTATTATATGACGTCATAACCAAGACAAAACTGGCCTTGAGACCGGTGTGAGTGTACAATTCAACTTGGAGCCCGTGACAATGTATGTTCACTTGGCTCTAAAAACCGGTAAGTTTTCTTCATGTCACTGAGCTGATTTGAACGGTCTKKTGTGCACATAATCGTACTAATCGCCCAAGTGAATGTGTAGGTTGGGTTCGAAAGGCATGCTACGAAATAGCGACGTTCGAGAAATGTGAATTTTTTCATTTGTTTCAAATTGTATTTTTCTTCAGTGCTGGTTTTGTACTTGGTGAAAGATAACTGCATAACTGCTACGGGTAAGAGCTATTTCAGTTAGTGCTGCTAAGTTCAGTAGTATTGAAGTATTTTACAATATGAAGTACTTCAGTTTTGGATAATATGAGGTTTGCTTCTTCCAGCTTGCCCGAAGGAGACAATCAVTGTAAAGGCTACTCTCGAACCTGGATGGAACTACGAGATCAAAAGTGCTGGTTTTCCAAACAATTACCTGCCCAACCAAACTTGTACTTGGAGGTTATTTTTCCCTGATTCTATGGAGAACCTGCGCGGAAAATATAGCATGATGTTGGTGTTTGACGCATTGGAAATAGAACCTTGTAAAAGCTGTTCTTGTGATTGGTTGGCCCATACTAACAGCGAAAGTAATTTACCAACAACCTCTAATAGAAAATGCCCATTGTACTCCAAAAATGCTATTGCCACTCTAAAGGAAACTGACCGCAGCAAAATTCGCATTTACATACATCGAAATTACTATGAATATTGGCTACAATTTCGCACAGATGGTTCTTCCGAATTCAAAGGTTTCAAAGGAAAAATAACGGTAGTGAAAGCATGGGAATCCAGTAAATGTTGGTATTACAACAACATTATCAACGAAACAAGGGGGAGCATTTCCAGCCCCAAGTACCCTTTAAAATACATKCCAGGTCAGTGTATAMAGTGGCACCTTGTTGTTCCTAAAGGATTTCGAGTCAAACTCACCTTTAAGGATTTTGATCTGGATAATGCTCGTACCAGTGATAACGACTGCAAAAAGGACTATGTAGAAATAAGAGATGGGAAGCTGGGTAATTACGGTGAGTTGCTTGGTCGGTTCTGTGGTAGTACCATTCCAGGGAAGATCTTCTCCTTATCCAATCAGATGTATGTATCGTTCGTGAGTGACAACAATGGACAGACAATGCACAAGGGCTTCAATGCGCACTTTCAGATGGATGGTAACCATAGCTCCCATTCGCCCTCCCATGCAGGTAACTTTTCATCAAAAAATATCAAATAAGGAGGAGGTATTTGTCAACATTTATCCCTCACATTTCCTTTT